TACATATGTAATACACGAAGGACACAAAATACCCTCTGCGCCATGCCAACACATTCATGCTTTACACTTACTGGTTCTCAAAATTAAGCGAAGGTAAATTTGAAAATTTGTCCTGGATCGTTGTGTTCGTCTTATTGCTGAGAAACTCTTTTCAAAATTTGCTGACCTCAGACGAAGGCGTATTACAACTTGCAGTAGCGTGTATCGGTTGGGAATCTTTTCACAATACTTTTCATATTAACTTTATCAGACTGTATTTGGTCTTTATTTTATAGACAGAAAACTGTGTTTTGAATAGTAGTTTGCAATATACGCAACGTTTTGGAAATGATTGTTTCCATCATCAGACTGAAGTTCCAGCTATCCAAAAAACAATTTTCTGTCTACAAAATAAAGACCAAATACAGTATGGCGAAGTTGTTAAGTCTACAGACAGAAAAAAAATAATAATTTAATACTCTTTTATTAATATTTTCATATGGCTCAAACTTATGTCAAGATTTTTACTTTTAACCAACTTCCTAGTGGTTAATTCCCCGATTTACACTTCTTTTACGGACGAGTCTGGAGTTTCAGTGCCATCCGGAATTCATGCGGTGTCGCTTCTAGGATTTCCGCTATTTCGCTATAGCTTCAGAATTGGTCGTCAAAAGTAAGCGCGTAAATTGGGTCTAAGACTTTAGCCTCCAGTGCGGGAGTATGAATATTAAATTCATCCTTGTGGCACAACGAATTCATTGGCATCACCTAAGGATGAAGCATCAAGAATAAATCAACCAACTTTGCGAGACAGATTTGCAAATTGCGTATTCAACTTGCTAATAATATTCTCCATTTTCTGATAGAAAATATTTATTTCAATATTTGGGAGCGTTGTGTCCTGTTGGCATACCAGAAATTGATTTACTTACGGTTGATTCACTCATCATTTCATAAATCATTAAACATTTTTTCTTTTGCTTTTTTCTTTGAAATTTTGAGGAATTTCACAAAAACTTATTGTGTCTCTGCATAATGATTGTCAATCTACAGGTCGTTCGTTCCATTGTATCTTCTTTTCGCCAAAACTAGTCATTAACATGAGTATCTTACAAAGTGGTCTGTTATTACTCTAGTAACACTCTATTTTAATCTGTTCATTCGCAAGCAGCAAAACTGAAATGAAAATCTAACAAAGAAACTAAGTATTGTGTCTTTGTTATTGAAACTAGTATATATTCTGTGTTTCTACAGAACTATTGTTCCGCGCTTCTCAAATATCTTCCTCTAAAGAATTTCAAATGACTTGGAAATTGTTTGACAGGAATTTAAAATTTTCCTATCGGCAACCCCACCTAGTACTACTTTAATTTCCCTCTTCCCATCTGTTTTAGTACTCATAGTCTCGCGTGTTTTAGAGTACTAAAGTAAAGCTCAGAAACATTAATGTATATTGCGAGGCGCAAATTAAGAACGAAGCGGACTAGAGACCTCTATGGGGTCCCCGCTGTCAAGGAAACCACACAAAACCCATAAAATGCAAAATAAACGATAACTAATAGTGCTAGAAAATGGCATAATACTTATCGTACTAGTTAGTTCCTCTTCATGTTCCTCTTCGGAGCATTCATTTCAGTTTCGACCCACTCCATTTCCAGGTGCCTAGGGAACGTACTAGGACCCCCCAAGGTAAATATCGCTGGGGGAGAGCAGTATTAAGTAGATGATGTCCTGAAAGGCAATCAAAGGATGAATTTCAAGTAAGTCACTCCATTGTGAATGTCGAAAAAATGGATCATCTCATGCAAGTCTATCAAGTGTAGGATATCTCGATAAGTTGCACTAAACACTATCTCAAATGGAATACCTGGAACAAGTCAATCAGCTAGGTTTTACACTTGTCCTTCAAATGGAGGATCTCAAATATATCGATCTAGTTTAGATTCTCAAGCATGTCATTGAATAGGTTCTCAACAAGTAAGATTAAATAGAGGATCTATGCGCAAGACGGGCAAGTAGAATATCTGCACGCAAGTGGATCAAGTGAAGAATCTGTGCGAAAATGGATCAAGTCAAGGGTACGTGCCCTAGCATATCAAGTGGAGAATTTGCGGGTATGCAAATCAAGTGGAAAATCTACGCGTACGGATATCAAGTGGCAGAAAATGTGAGATTCTACGCGCAAGTCGGTCAAGTGAAGGATCTTGGAAACACAAGTTTTACAATCGGAAGATCGGCTTCCAAGTACATCAAGCGAAGGATTTGTGCGTAGATCGATCAAGTGAAGGATCTTAAGCAAGTCTATCAATTGTATGATCTGAAGCAAATCTATGAAGCTGGGGATGTAGGTGCAACTTGATGAAGTGGAAGATCTGCATACGAGTCGATCAAGTTGAGGAACTTTTCGCGTGTATATGAAGTGAAGGATCTTCGCATCATTCGAAGAAATGGAGAATCTGTGTGAAAGTCGATCTCGTGGAGGTCAACGTTGATCAATGGGACATCTTCGCGGAAGTTGCTCAAGTGGAGGATGAGCGCGACAATTAGAGCAAATGGTAGATCTCTACTTGAAGACGGAACACTTTGATCGTTCGATGGCAAACCACTAAGAAATTCGTTATCACATTATCACTTCCTCCTCACTCAGTACGTCCGAATAGCCGCGATAGAGTTGGTGGAGGGAGAAGCAGCGAAGCGGTAGTTGATGCTTCGATCGTTTATTCCGAAATTCAATGAGTTTTAAACAAGCAGGAAGATCATTTCAAGTTTTTGGAATAGGCAGATTTGCCGTTGAATACTGCTCTAAGTAATCAGAATTGTACACTTTGTTATAATGTTACACCAAACTGATCAAGACATGCAGTCTCAAGGAATAAAGAATCAAGATTCAAAAACAAAAGCTAACGGTGGACTGTGAACGACAAATAAAAATACATTTGGCTCATAAAAATAAAGTGCCTAAAATAACAACTTTTCTTGGAAATACAATTGAAGTAGATGCTCAGAAATTCAGAAAATGTTTATTACTGTCTTGTGAAACATGTAATACAGCATAGACACACAGGATACGTAACTACAGGCCGACGTTTTACAAGAAAACGTGAAAAACTAGAGATTAATATATTTTAAGAAATAATAAATTGACATGTATTGGACCAATATTTCTGGATGAAGACAGTTATTGAAGATGAATTTCTGATGAAGACAATTATTGGAAAGAATTAGTTACCTGGTTCAAAAGATGCAAAAAACACACATTTACAATTGAAGCAGCCCAGAAAAACAAATACGCCTTTTAAAGGGACCCTAATTACGAAAATCAAAACAATAGCATAGTAACAGCTACTGATATTGTCTTTTTTGACAAGAATTGTGGAAAGTCGCTTCCTCTACCATTGAGGGAACTAATTTTGTGCTCGGTCTGCCCTCTGAAATGCCTAAATTCTAAACCTACATTTTGAAAACAAATAATTCAATTAATTCATTTTATTCAGAAAGATCTAGAATGTAATGCAAAAAATGCAACATTTATATTATCATCCAAAAAACTTATTTTTATTGTTTCAATATAAACATGGGAATATTAAAAATAATCTAAAGTGTATCTGATGTAGTTTTTTCATGGAAACATAAATATAATTAAATAACCCTTTTTAAGTGCACTCTATACAATACCTTTGTTTTTAACCCCTTGTGACCCCAGCGACCAAATTACTTTTGTGACCGTAAATGGGCTATTTGAACCTTTTTAGTATTATAAAAAACTAAATAAAATATATTATTTTTAATGGTTTAATGTTATTTCTGTCAATGTAGATTATTTACTTTAGATCTTTATTGTGATTTGTAAGTAAACTCAAATATTTTTGTTAACAAATAGTCTTATTTGACATCACTTTCTGAGAAGAGAAAACGAACATTGGTCCCGCTTGTAAGCAAAAATCAACACTAAATAATGGAGTATTGCAGGGGCCCCTACAGCCCCTGCAAGGAATAATTTGCCTTGTATATTGCTAACTATTTAACAAAATTATGTTCATAAATATCACTTCAACTGTTATACACTCAACTTACAATCAAATGAGAAAATAAAATGTTCCCAAAATTGTGTATTATAATTATGCTATATATTTCTCGGGAAAAATTCTGATAATAAAAAATAATTACTCTTACATGTATACTTGCTAGGATGGGGAAATGGCCCATTCTGTGGGGGAGGGGTCAAGCCCGTCCCCCTTCCCGCCCCTAGTTACGACTATTCATGTGCAATAAGTAATAATCTTGTAACCCATGTAGGTCCTAATAATTTTGCAACATTTATTCTGAACCACAAGGTAGACTACACTCATTATTCTTACCCAAATAAATTACTAAAATTCCGAAAAACAGGAAAACAACAGGAAAAACTGACGTATTGTGTCCAAGAAAAGACTGTTTGGCGCACTCTTTATTCATTCTCAATTAATTTCGGAAAACGGTAGAAAACTGGTGTATTGTGTCCAAGAGGAGACTGATAGATTGCCTGGCGCCAACTCTTCATTCTTATACCTTTTTTTTCGTCCTAGCTATTTCTCCCGTTTCTACGAGGTTGGCGCTAATGGATGCGGGCTCAGTTTTTATTGATTTACAGCACACTCCATTTTTATCATGGTTTGGAGATGTTTTTACGGTCGGATGCCCTTTCTGACGCCAACCACATGGGACACACAAACACATTACATATAGACAACACACAATCACGAAACACACACCACCATGCCCGATGCGGACTTCGAACTCACGATCCTTCGGTCCGAGACCGATACGGCCCTACTGCCTTAGCGATCTCGGACTATCCGGATTGGCTTTATTCACACCCAATTCATTTCCAACATTTCGAAAAAAGATGTGTTGGGTCCAGGAGGATACTGACAGGTGGACTAGAATGCACTCTTTATTCTTACCCGATTAGTTTCTAAAATTCCGGGAAAAAGCAAACAGAGAAAAGTGACGTATTGTGTCCGAGAGAAGGGTGACTAGCTGACTTGCGCAGGGGGCCGCGGCGGCGCGGGGCCTGCCAACGCGACGAGCCTGGCGTCAATGGGCGAGGGCGGCCTGTCCTACGTGGGGCAGGGCTTCCTGGGCGACGCGAGCGCCGCCGCCCACGAGGGCCCCGGCGAGGTGCTGATCGTGCCGGCGGTGGCCGGCTGCCGCTGCGACTACCGCTGCGTCGCCCTCGACGAGTACCGCAGCATCACGCAGTGCATCTGCCCCGAGCGCTGGAAGCTGGCCCCCGACAACGTCTCCTGCGTCAGTTCCGGTAAGTGCTTTTGCGGCTTTCTCGTTTGTATCATCAGTCGCTTATAATAATAATAATAATAATAATAATAATAATAATAATAATAATAATAATTTAATAATGTATATCATTAATTTTTCTATTATTATTATTATTATTATTATTATTATTATTATTATTATTATTATTATGTCAATTTTTGGCAAGGCTCAGACCATCAGGCCTGCTCTTTCGCCTAACCACTTATATATTGTTACATTTACTTAATCACAATTGAGGGATTCGGGGCAAATATTGATAATTGACATTTCATGTTACTTCGGAAAGTGCAAGGACGTATTAACTAACGAAAATGTGCTGCACACAATGAATGTATTTCTACCGTCAATTTTTCTGATCTCTAAAGCTAATACGACATAAAGAGAGTCTTTGCAAGAAAGACGTAACAAGCCAATAATTTTACTTTCTGAAGATGACTGGAGTCATCTCCTATACCCGAATGCCTCAATTGTAGACAAGTAAAGAAAAGGAAGGCTGAATTTACATTTATGCCTGGGCTGCAAGACTAAGGACCATTTCAGCGTACGGCTTAAGCGATTGAGTAAACCCAGAAAAACGTCAATCAGGATGGCGGCTTAGGGTAACACATTGAATATACTTGCGTGAATAGGAATAAAATAGAAATATTAAAGGAAGGTGAAAGGGCAGACGAAAAGTAGGAATATGAATAATGAAAATACGGAAGGGGGGACTATAATGAAAATATGTGGTTTCATATATAAATATGTAGGTTCTCCTATTAGAATGCACAAACTAGTTGAAGTTTAAGATAAACTGTAAATAAATAAATTAATTAAATTTAAAAAAATAAAAAGGCAGGAAGATGAACAAGATAATCACAACGTAGCAAGAGCATTCAATACAAAGATTATATGATTTAATATGGTCCTTCTAGGACTTGAAACTCTCTTTTGAAGCGCCTAGGTCCATTGTTTACAAGTGGACAATTTCATATAACGGCGTTTCAAATGTAGCATATGCTTCTAATGATCAATATTTTATATAGGTATTCGTCAGGTCACGTACTGATAAAGTTAAGGAGATTGTACGTGTCTGCCAAACATCAGTGCAAACGGGGTTGCCTAAAATAAGGGGCAAATACGACCGGTGTGTGTCTATTATATACAATTTCGCACATGTTCTTTCGCAAAAGGGGATCATTTTCGATCCCTGTGTGGCTCTACATTTATTCTTAGACACCTTCATAGAAAGTAACAAGGGATTTATCAGCCGTGTACAATTCTTCGTGGAGTGTTGACCTTTTCAGGGATACTCCGAAGAGGGAAGCTAGCGCAACTTGTCCCATGCTTCGACTCTATTGAGGCCCCGATTTTTTTTTAAATTCAAGGCATATAAAAAAGTGTGCTTACGATATTATAAACGTAATCAACAGTACATTAATGAAATGTCGTTGGCTACTCGTGACGTCTAGATTAGGGGTCGGGCACATCTTATTGTTATTAATTTGTAAACCATCAAACTTGAAGGAACGAGCCTTTACTGAAAGGGAGAGATTGGTGGCAGCGTCATGTGCTTTTCCTGCAGTTACAGAGCCCGTAATATCCGCCATAGCAGTGCCTATGATATCGCTTATTCAGGTTTTTATTTCCTTGAGATATTACCTCCTGCTTTAATTTATTTAATTACTCTCACGTCCATTAATTTACGAGTCATATAATATAATTTGCAGAGGGATTATCGTCATCCCAAATTCCGATATAGCAAAATACTTTTTTGGAATCAGGTTTTCACAAATGGAAAACACCACTGACCATAACAATGAAATTGCTCTTCAGACATGAATCAAGAATTGAAAGAATGAATACTGTGTGTTCTTTCATTATAAAAGATTATTTTTAATTTACCTTGTAACTATTTTAAATACATCAGTCTTTTGTGGAAAAAAGGATCAGTTTTGGAAATTGCTTTAATTAAAACTGAATTTGAAAAAATTTTGTTTCAAGAAAATATCAGAAAATTTGAACCCAAGACCTGACCATATTCAAAATTTGATTGTGGATATTATTTACCCTATCATTTTACTGTTTTTACAGGTGATCCCTCCCTGCCCACTATCATCTGGCTTGTAATGGCCATTGTGGCAATTATATTGCTGTTCATCGCTCTAGGAGGCACATGTTTCTGCCTTTGTAAGTATTTGCATGGCTGCTGCCTGTGTGGGTTGTTAAGCATGATGTAGAATTTTCTTTGTGACTAACATTTTGTCCATTACCCATGACTCAGATTACAGGCAAAAATTGCACAGAATCAAAAGTGAACTTTCAATACTTCCATTTGCATTTGCAATATATTATTAAAGTATGGATGCAATTTACAGTACCCTTGAGAACAAAAAAATGGATTTTCCTTCTTTTTTAAACTTTTTTATTAAAATTTTCCTCATTACCACATTCTACTGCATTTTCTTCTTCTTTGGTTTACAAAAAAAATATAGTTCTAGATTGATGTAAGTAATGGGTAAATAGGAAGATAGCATCTCGCATATAATCTAAAATGCTTTTCATTTGTTTGTGTTGTATAGGAAATATTTATATACCATTTCACAATGTCTTCACAATGTCATCACAAAGACATCATATAATCATTCTTTCTTTTCTTTCCTTCCTTTTCTTTCCTTTTCTTTCCTTTCCTTTCCTTTTCTTTCCTTTCCTTTCCTTTCCTTTTCTTTGCTTTCCTTTTCTTTCCTTTTCTTTCCTTTTCTTTGCTTTTCTTTCCTTTTCTTTCCTTGTCTTTCCTTTTCTTTGCTTTTCTTTGCTTTTCTTTGCTTTTCTTTGCTTTTCTTTGCTTTTCTTTGCTTTCCTTTGCTTTTCTTTGCTTTTCTTTGCTTTTCTTTGCTTTTCTTTGCTTTTCTTTGCTTTTCTTTGCTCTTTTCTTTTTTCTTTGCATTTCTTTTTTCTTTGCTTTTCTTTTTTTCTTTTCTTTTCATTTTTTCTTTTCTTTCCTTTTTTTCTTTTCTTTCCTTTTTTCTTTTCTTTCCTTTTCTTTCCTTTTTTCTTTGCTTTCCTTTTTTCATTGCTTTCCTTTTTTCTTTTCTTTCCTTTTTTCTTTTCCTTCCTTTTTTTCTTTTCCTTCCTTTTTTTCTTTTCCTTCCTTTTTTCTTTTCCTTCCTTTTTTCTTTTCCTTCCTTTTTTTCTTTTTCTTCCTTTTTTTCTTTTCCTTCCTTTTTTTTCTTTTCCTTCCTTTTTTTTCTTTTCTGTCCTTTTTTTCTTTTCTTCCCTTTTTTCTTTTCTTTGCTTTCTTCTTTTCTTTTCTTTTTTCTTTTCTTTTCTTTTTTCTTTCCTTTCCTTTTTCTTTCCTTTTCTTTCTTTCCTGACTTCTGTCTCACTTCTGTCTCTCTTCTACTCTCGCTCGGTGAATGAGGATAGTGGCTCATGAGTAGGGGTAACTTGCTTGGTGAGAAGGTATACACAGATTGTGATTTTGGCTGTGCTTGTTAATTTGTTGTCAAGTAACCAGCAAACACACAGAAATATTTTTATTTAGGAGGAAAAGTGCTTATTATGTACAAAAATACAGATAATGGCTAATGTTTATGAATATTTTCAGGGAAGAAGCAGAATATAAACTAATGTAGCTTCTATAGCACTTTGAACTCAAAATTCAGAATAAGATCATAAGAGAAACAAAGAGCTGTTCTAAAAATTGTATTCTAAATTTTGCAGCAACATTAAACATGTTGAATTTTCAATAGAAGTTTAATAATCAAACCCACATACAAATTGAAATGATCACTTACAGAAAATTAAAAAGGAGATAATTATGTATTTACAAACACAATGGTGAATGTTCCAGAATAAAACGGAATGAACTACGACAAATTTCCCTAAAGATAGAACAAGCCCAAATCTTAATCCATGAAGTTAATAATTGCATGGGAGCATGTTTCCAGCATCATTCCTGCTGCAGATAAGCTTGTACATTTTTTTATTTGATTATGCATTTCAAGAATATCTTTGGTTCAGTGGGCAATCTTCTTGGCTTTTTATTCTTTAAGTTGAATAAATAGTTTATATAAGATTCCGTTTGTTAACAAATTTCAGGAAATATTTCTGTTATTATTTTTCAATATACAATATTACACTAATTTTTGTTTCAATATATTAATTATTAAATAATATAAACATGTAGTGAGATTTTTACAATGTTTTATAGAGGATCTGCATATAGCCTGACTCTTTGTAATGCAGCTTAGCCCACTAATGTGGTGTGAATTGGCAATTTTCTCCATAGTTAACTAATTGACGAGCAAAAGAATATCATAACCAGTCTGAATAATAAAAATGTTTTCAGGAATGTTTATTTGTCCAATTTTTTTTATTTGAATATTTCAACGTGTGGGCATCATAAACCTGGCACCTCATGTGAATTGTGTACCGGGCAAGTAAAAATATTTTCCAGGAGAGGACATTAAACTCTCTAAAGTAAAACCATCTTCAGCATCCCCAACACCACCCCGTTAATTCATACCCTGCATACTACACATACTAGCAAGCAATGAATGTTGAAATGAATATCTTTGGTGGGTATTGATTGTTCATTTATTAATTAAACACATTTTAAAAACAATTATTCTAATATTAATGCATGTTCTTCTAGAGGGTTGAGCGCAATAAAACAATAAAGTTAACTATACTTTGACATGCATTATATAATAACTTATTTTAGGGATGAAAAAAAGCAAAACAATAAATATGATCTGTATATTGTTAAAATCTGAGTTCATTATAATAAAGGACAAAATTCAAAATGACATATTTAAATTAACAAATTATGAGAATAGGTGCATGATTGGAGACGTGTTCTTTAGTTGTAGAGAAATGCAGATGTATTTCAGCTCTAAGCTGTTGATTTTTTAGTTGGTCAAATTTTTCTGATTCTGATTCTGGTTATGATTGTAAATCATGAACAGCATTGAATCCAATTGAATATTAGACCCCTAAAAAAATATCAATGCTTCAACTTTTATCTGATAGAACTACTTCTTAAGCCGATACAGTGGCCAAGATCGCTAAGGCAGTAGTGCCATAACGATCTCGGACTGCAGGATCGCGGGTTTGAGTCCTGCTTCGGGCATGGTGGTATTGTATTCATCCTTTCACCCCTTATCATCATATCGTGTCATCCTCACAGTTACCATATCGTTACAAGCAATAGTGGTTGCTAATGACCTAGAAGTTGATGTGACCTTAAATATTTTTAAAAAATTGAAAAATGTATTCAATTGTATGAACTTTTTTGTAAACAACCTCAATTTCCGGTAGATCTAATACTTGTTAATAATAATAATAATATAATAATAATAATAATAATAATAATAATAATAATAATAATAATAATAATAATAATAATATTTATTGATTGTTGCTAGTAAAACAACAGTGACTTTATAATATTTTACTTTATGTTTAACCAACAAACACTGTTTGAATTAAATAAGCATCTTGGTTTATAATAGAACATAATCTTTGCTTTTATCTACATTACAAAACTTTATATTACCTTCTATTTCAAAAAGAAAAAAACAGTCTATAAGCCTTTTCTTTAGTACATTTCTTTCAATATTAATTTTGTATTTATTACATTGTTAATTAAATGATAAATTAAATATGATATGGGCCTTGTTGCTGAGATAATCATTATTTATTATGTCCAATATCAACTTACAACAAAAAAATCTGACAACTCACATTATGAGTTGTGAGATTGTACAGTATATATTTGACACTAATATAAGATTTGCCAGGTAAAGGTGTTCCCAAGTATGGGCCCTGTTTTTATTTATTCTCTACCTCTTGGAGTACGGGAGACATGTGGCAAGCATGATGTCTTATCTTCATCCTCATATACTTGGCATTCCTAAGTTTTTGTTCTGTCATACAGCTATAGAAGCTGAGATGATTGTAATGGAAAGCTACAGCTTTATTTTTGTCCCAAAGGGGAATCAAACCCAGGATTGCATATGGAAAGCTAGCAAGCAGTCCATGAGCCATCCAAGGGACAGAGTTGTTGGATTATTATGTGCATAAATCATTTTTATTTAAAAGCTTTCTTCAGTACATTACATAATTTTTAAAATTTTTGATAGTATATTGTAACAACTTAGATAAAACTGTGTTTCCTTTTTTGTTTTTGGCATGTGGTCTATTGTGTTCTCGTAAGAAATATATTTTAATTTCTAGAATTAAAGACAAAGTATTGTGAGATAATGTCATAATTGCAAGTTGGGAGCTATAATTACAAACTTTATTCACAAAAACAAAGTGGCAACCGAAATAGAATCTCATTTGCTTATTGCAAGTCATTACTAAAGATTGAATTTAGAGAATTTTATAAATATCATTTTATGCTTTTGAAAGAATCAATTTTAGATTTTTTTTCTTATTAGGCTATTATTACGCTGAACAATATTCACAATAAATAATAAATTTCAATTACTAATTCATTTCATTCAATATTTTTACTTCTGAACTTAAATGAACAAAATATACTTAAAAAACCACATATATTTTAATAATTGCAACTTCTTAAATATTCCCTTCAGAATGAGCATATAAACCAAAAATACACTTTCTTTAAGATTCATTGTTGTAATGTACTACCATACACAATCCCAAAATATCTTATGTGAAGGACTTCCTGTTGTTTCTAAACACACACACATATAACATATAACAAACGCACACATAACAAGAAAAGGTTCACTCAACACAAAATTCACTCAATGAATCAATGATATAGATGATATAGAGATTTCATAGATGCCACTGTTCTTGGTCCCAAAGATTATTCCCTAATCCACAATTTCGTCTTCCAGGAAAACTTCATTTATGTCTTTCATCTTAGATTGCATGAATTTTTGAGAACTTTGACAGGAATACATCATCTACTGATCATGTTATTTCCTTCTTTGAAACAGCTACAGTGATTTTCATTGCTTCATTTAATAGAAAACACAAGCCTTCTAAATTTTCAATAGTAGCAGGAAACTCTGCAAAGTTAAATGTTGCATCCATGCTACCATGAAACTCCTATCAACTCAAATGAAATTAATTTTATTAAAACAACTTTACATTTTTCTTTTAGAAAATCATAATTTAGCCTCTTTTAGGATCATAATGCATTTGAGCTG